ATGTTTCAGTTTCCTTTCATTAGTTGATTTGCTGATTGAAGATTATTACATGCTGGACTTTACTTTGAGGTTTAAATCATATTTTTAAGCTGCTGTTTGGGGGTGACTTTAGGGCTGCTGGGTCCGATTTTGCCCCCGGCAAGGGACTTTGGGGGGGCATTCCTGGAGGGGACGGGGTGTCCCCAACACAATGACATCATGTTGGGGACATCCCACTCCAAGCCCCACCCCAAGAACAATGGCTGGCAGCCACCCCTCTCCTTAACCTCCTGCAAGATTTAAAGGGCCCGCCGATCAGGTGGAGGGCCCTTTAAATTTTGCAAGAGGGCAGGGAGGGGGCAGGTGCCAGTCCCCGCTGGCTGGAAGTGCTTAAAGGGACCCTTTAGGGGCTTCCAGCTGGTGGGGCCCCATGCCTAATCTCCCCCCTGGAAATTGGCGCGTGGGGCCAGTCCTCGCGACTGGAAGCACTTAGAGCAGAGGTGTCAAACTCATTTGTTATGAGGGCCAGATCTGACATAAATGAGACCTTGTTGGGCCGGGCCATGTGTGTCATAAAATGTAATGCCAAGTAGCAGAGATATAAACTTTATAAAGGATGCACACAAACACAATTCAATATTTTTAAAACTTTAAATAAAACATGTTTTAAACACTAGCACTCTTGCAGTATTTTGTATATTTAACAGTCTCTGATAATTGACACCTCTTGCTCTGAATTATTGCACCAAAATGTCTGTGCTGTAGGAATCTTGAGTATGTTGTTCAGGTGTGTAACTGTAAGCTGCAAATCTATTTTTGATTTATTGACATTCATTACAGGAGTCTCATGTTCAGTGTTCTGAGCCTAGGACTCAAGGGAAAACATGAAAAGGCTGGGCACTGCAAGCTTTTTTACATAAGTTGCTTCATGTGCTGGTCAAGAACATGAGAAGGCATACTGACACAGACTGAGGGCCATGTGTTTGTCTATAAAACTATAGTCTTCCCCAGAGAAATAGCTACCAAGAAAGGAAATGTGCTTTGTGAACTTGGTCTGGACGCACACTCTCAGCCTAATCCAGCTCATTGGCTTGTTGTTATTCCTCCTCTAAAATAGATCACATTGCTTTCTTGCTGAGAAAGACTGGATCATGAGGGCATGAATACAGTGAAAAGGGGGAGGTAACCCAGTTGCACCCAGGAAAGCCCTGGCATAAAGAGCCCAACAAAACACAGAACAGAAAAGCTCACACCTTGAACAAAACTTTGTTGGTATTAAAGGCTCTTGGTATTTCTCCCATGCCAAGGGTGTAGACTTTCCAATTTCCAAGGTGGGGGCTGGGCCAGAGGTCCTTAAAAGAACCGAGGCCCAATGACATCATAGGGAGGAGCCAGTGACATCACAGGCTATTGTCACTATCTATGGAGGTAGAGCCATGTGGGATTTAGGAAGGGGCTCCCCAGAAATTTAGGGGGGCCTGGGATAGTGTTCCAACCCTTTTATCATTCGAGTTGCCCTTTTCTGTACTTTTTCCAAAGATATAATACCTTTTTAAGGTGTGGTGACCAGAACTGCACACAGTATTTCAAATGAGGTCGCACCATTGATTTATATAGGGGCATTATGGTATTGGCTGATCTAATTTCAATACTCTTCCTAATAATCCCCATCATAGCATTGGCCTTTTTTATTGCAGTCACACACTGTCTCGACATTTTCAGTGAGTTATCTACTATGACTCCAAGAGCTCTCTTGTTCAGACTCTGCCAGTTCAGACCCCATCAATGTGTATTTATATTTAGGATTTTTGGCTCCAATGTGCATCACCTTGCACTTGGCCACATTGAACCCCATTTGCCATGTTGACGCCCACTCGCCTATCCTTGACACATCCCTTTGGAGTGCCTCACAATCCTCCCTGGTTTTCACCACCCTGAACAACTTCGTATCATCCACAAATTTAGCCACTTCACTGCTTACTCCCAACTCCAAATCATTAATGAACAAGTTAAAAAGCAGTGGACCAAGTACTGATCCCTGTGGTACCCCACTGCTTACACCCCTCCACTGGGAGAACTGCCCATTTATACTCACTCTCTGTTTTCTATTAATTAGCCAGTTTTTGATCCATAAAAGGACTTGTCCTTTTATCCCATGATTTTTGAGCTTGCTTAGGAGCCTTTGATGAGGAACTTTATCAAAAGCTTTCTGGAAGTCAAGGTAAACAATATCTATTGGATCCCCCTTGTCCACATGTTTGTTCACCCCCTCAAAGAACATTAACAGGTTAGTGAGACAAGATCTTCCCTTACAGAACCCATGTTGAGTCTGCCTCAATAGGTTTTGTTCATCTATGTGCCTACTAATTCTTTCCTTAATAATGGTTTCCACCAATTTACCCGGTATCGACGTCAGACTGACAGGCCTGTAATTTCCCGGATCTCCTCTGGAACCCTTTTTAAAGATGGGAGTGACATTAGCTACCTTCCAGTCCTCAGGAATGGAGGCTGATTTTAAGGAGAGATTACATATTTTTGTCAGGAGATCCACAAGTTCACAATTGAGTTCTTTCAGAACTCTTGGATGTATGCCATCTGGGCCTGGTGATTTTTCAGTTTTTAAGTTGTCTATCAGTTTTAGGACCTCCTCTCTCGTCACCTCAATCTGACTCAGGTCTTCCAACACCCCTCCTGAAATCAGTGGTTCTGGAGTGGGCAAGCACTTCTCATCTTCCACAGTGAAGACGGAGGCAAAAAATGCATTTAGCTTCTCAGCCATTTCCCTATCATCCTTCAGTACTCCTTTTACCCCTTGGTCATCCAAGGGCCCCACTGCCTCCCTGGCTGGTTTCCTGTTTCTAATGTATTTGAAGAAAGTTTTATTGTTGGTCTTTACATTTTTTGCTATATGCTCCTCATATTCCCTTTTTGCATGCCTGACCACAGACTTGCATTTTATTTGCCATAGCCTGTGTTCTGTTTTATCAGCCTCACTGTGACTAGCTTTCCACCGCTTAAAGGAATCCTTTTTACCTTTTACAGCTTCCATTACTTTGTTTGTTAACCATGTAGGCTTTTTCTTATACCTGTTTGTGCCTTTCCTAACCTGCGGAATATATTTTATTTGAGCTTCTAGAATTGTAGTTTTAAACAGTTTCCAAGCTTCCCCAATGGTTTTGACCCTTTCTACTTTTCCCTTCAGTTTCCTCCCCACATGTCCCCTCATATCAGAAAAATTACCCCTTTTAAAGTTAAAAGTGGTTGTGTGAGTCTTTTTGGCCAATTCCCTATTTGTACAAATGTTGAACTCAACAACATTATGATCACTGTTTCCAAGTGGTGCAATCACTTTTACATCTCTCACCAGGTCTTGAGTGTTACTTAGGACCAAATCAAGGATCGCCTCTCCCCTGGTAGGTTCCGTGACCATCTGCTCCATGGCACAGTCATTTACAGTGTCTAGAAACTCAATCTCTTTTTCTCGACTAGAACACATATTGACCCAATCAATGTGTGGGTAGTTAAAGTCACCTATTATGACACAGTGTTTTTGTCTAGCTGCTATCTTTAATTCATTCATCATTTTATAATCCTCCTCTATCTTTTGATCTGGTGGGCGATAACAAACTCCCAGTGTTAAGTTTCCTTTTGCCCCCCCATTTCAACCCATAGAATTTCCAGAAGTGAATCCAATTCTCTTAGCCTCTCAATCTTTCTGGACTTTATACCCTCTCTGACATACAGAGCCACCCCACCTCCAACCCTTCCCCCCCCATCCTTCCGATATAATATATAACCGAGAATCACCGTATCCCACCAATTTTCCTCATCCCACCAAGTTTCTGAAATACCCACAATGTCTATTTTCCCCTCCAACTCCCCGATTTTACCTCGGACACTTTTGTATAGAAACAGCTATAATTTCCCATACAAGTTAAGCCTGCAACCTTCCTCTTGCTATCTCTAGACCTTGTCAGGCAGTCCATGTCACTAGCCATGGTCTCAGTGGACAATTTCAATCCACCTCCCTGCAGAAAAGTAACAGGTACCCCCTCATCTCTGTGATGAGCCAACCCGAACCAGAGATTTTTCATCTCCTGTCGGCTTTCCCCTAATATTCAGTTTAAAAACTGCTCTGCCACAAAAACAGTTCCACAATGGACATTCTTCCTAGTGTTAGCATATTACAAAATTATTCCAGAATAAGGTTTACACAGAAGTAAGCCTCACTAGCTTCTGAAACAAGTGCCTAAAACGGCAGTCTCAGGGTAAACATGCAGAGGATTGTGAGGTGTATATTTTATTGCCACAAAGAGTTGTTGTTGTTTTTTTAAAAAGGTAGAGTAATGCACCTTACTGGACTGAATTGGCTGTAGACGGTATACACGATTTTGCATTAGTCTTTTTAGTCAGTATGAAAATGTAAATAAAACTTATATTCATAACACAACTTTTAAGGAGGCCTGAACCCCACTTTTTAACGGAAACAGCCAAACACCCCCGTTATGAAATTGGCCACTATCTTCTGCTTTTAAAATAAAGTAAGAAAGAAACCTCGCCGAAATCATCTCTTAAGTGAAGAATGCTTAGAGTCCCCAACGGATCAAGACCAGGTTGCGATCACAGCGGCAACACAGACAGATCCACATGTCAAGCGGTTACTTCCCTATTAGGTGAAATACACGGTCCACAATGCATCACTACACAACACCCGCCCACCTTATCACAGAGAAAAAAATGCAGCCCTCACTAACGCTTCCGGTCTACATTTGACCATGGTTTTCATTATAGAGATACCAAAAGACAGAGCGGCCTCACGCCTCGCCAATAGAGAATCAAGGCGGACCGACACCTTTCAGTTTCAACCGGAAGCCTGGCTGTGTGTAGAACTTCTTCCCGTCTTTAGCCCGGCCGACCGCAAAGTTACAGCAAATAGTAGATGTAATAGAAGACTTCATTTCCCAGAGTGCTTTGTGTGCTGTGGCTGTAGCCTAGCATCGGTGTTTCCGGGTCATCGTTAAGCTGGGAGGTTTTACGGCGGGCTGAAGGGAGAAGCGGCATGGCTGATCCCGAGGAGGTTGAGGTTGGTAGGGGGCTCAAGACCCCTCGAAACAAGAAAACTAGGAAAGGTAACTGCCTGGCGTCCCGTCCCCCTCATGTGGAGCCTCGTAGTGCTTTATTAGAGTCTGCCTACCTGCGTATTATTTTGTATTTCGCCATTCCTCTAAGGAGTCGAGGGTTGCACATGCGGTTCACCGTCCCCTTTTGCATCCTTGCAACAGCCCTCTGAGTAAAGTTGCCAACTCTGGGTCGGGAAACTTTGAAGATTTGGGGACAAGCCTGGGGAGAGTGGAGTTTGGTGAATGGAGGCAGCTCAGTAGGGCCGTGATGTCGTAGAGTCCACACAAAAATGTCCTGAAGCTACCATTTTCTCCAGGGGAAACTGATCTCTGCAGTTTGCAGATCAGTTCTAATTCTTGGGGGAGGGGGGGGGATTCCAGGATCCACGTGGAAGTTGGCCACCCGGCCTGTGAGGGGATTAGGCTAAGGCAGAGTGGTTGGGGCATGGTAACCCATCATTTGTCATGGCTGAGGACTGATCTGATTCTCGGTTGCCCCAGGGCGCTCTTGATACTCTGTCCACGGTATCACACTTCATTGGGGCAGTTAGTATTCCGGGTTGTGCTGCTGCATGTAGACGGTTGGTCTGGTTGTAGTTCCTTCATTCACTCCTGGTAATTCAGATGCCTGTTCTAACATTTATTTTATAAACAGGTCTACTTAGGAAGTTGATGGTTTCACAACCAAACAGAGTATCTTCACATTGCTGGATTGCTGTTTTTGCATTCTGTTTTTCTTCAGAAGTAAATCCCACTTATTTCAGTAGCAGACATTTTTTTAGGGGGTAGGGATTCCATTGGATTGTTATGTTAGACTTAGACTTCAGTCTCTTATATTTTGTATTCTGTTTTATTCTTGCCTGCAATTGGGGTTCTTGAAATGCTTCTGCCTTTCTCTCATTCTCATGTGATAATTATGGTCTGGAAAAGACTACTTTAAAATATAAATGCAGTTACTTGGACAAATAATAATAATGATGATGCTGTGGTGCCATCCTGTATGTTGAAGCTGTTTGAATACGCATTTGACTTATTTGGGAAGTAACAGTTGGAGACCTTTAAACGTAAGTGCTATCAGGTAGTTTCCCACTTGGTTGCTCAGCAGGGACAAGTAAGTCTATCATGAACAAACGGCCAAGGGGACAAGTACCTGCTTGTCCATTTATCCTACCAACTGCCCAGTTGTGTTTTTCCCAGCCAGAGATTGGAAGTTGACATTGGACTGTGCTGTTGTTTCTGGAAAGTCAAGCATTTTGTTGTTGCTGCTGCATATATAGCTTCTTCCAATTTTCTTTCTTTGAAGGAAAGAAAAACAATAGGAGTATTCTGAAAGAGGCTTTTGCACTGTTTTTTGTTTCTACAAGGGGACAAGCAAAGAGGGTACACATGTCCATTCAATTTACTGGCACAAGCCGGGTATGGCAGGGGAAGGTAGAAGATGAAAAAGAGGGTGGGTGATGGGAGTAATTTGGGGGATATCTCTTTACTTGAAATGATGTTTTATTGACTAAATACATTGGGAATTATGTCTGCCAAACAAGGATGTTACATCTGATGATGTTCCAGCATGCTATCTTGCACTGATTTTGTGTAGATGTGTGGTTCTTGAAGTGCAGTCCTTTTCCACATTGAATCTCAGTGTTCAGAGCAGTAGTTATGGCTATTTTTTGTCTCCTTGTCCCATCCCTTTTCTTTCTTTCTTTCTTTTTTTGTTCAAGTTGGGAATAGTGTTCTAGTATTGTTAAAAGCTGTGTGTTCATAACAGTAGATGAATCTGAACTTCTCACTGTTCCTGATGGATGGAAAGAGCCAGCCTTCACAAGAGAAGATAACCCTAGAGGTCTTCTGGAAGAAAGCAGCTTTGCCACACTCTTCCCAAAATACAGAGAAGCTTACTTGAAAGAATGTTGGCCATTGGTCCAGAAAGCATTGAATGAACATGTAAGGATACCTGTGGAGGTTCACAAAGTATAAGGTTAAAATTTCCAGATCGCTGAGGGAAGGATGAAATATGCTGTAGTTGGTGTATATCTTGGAAGAGGATTCTGAAACTATATTTTCATCAGATAGATGGGTTTATAATAATGCATTATTTTAACGTCACTATTTCCGTATCATAATGTTTCTTTCAGTACCCAGGGAGCTTTTTGAGCTTTTTTGATAGGAACATGACCTTGCACATTTAAACTTCTGTGGTGTCTGTGTGAAGTTATTGGATGTCTTTGCAGGCAGAATGAGTCTTTGGCAAGGATCCTATTAATTTTAAAGTTATTCCAACTTGCAGTTTCTGAAGTCTGATTGCTTCAGTATTCAAGATATATTCTGCTTGTAAAAAATGTCTAGCGTGTAGTTTATGGCTTTTAGAAGCCATTCTGGTTTCTGTGTAAGCCATTGATTCCTTTCTCTCTTGCTCTCTCTCTCTCTTTTTGTTACAGCGTATAAATGCAGCTTTAGACTTAATTGAAGGAAGCATGACTGTCAGCACAACAAAGAAGACCTTTGACCCCTATATAATCATCAGAGCCAGAGACTTAATAAAGCTTTTAGCAAGAAGTGTTCCATTTGAGCAGGTTTGTGTAGCTTTAAATCATCATTTATACTATGCTGCGCCCTCTTACATTGCTTGGATTTTATTTTCTTGTTTTGTTTGAAATCTTTATTGGTAAATTAAGGAAGATCAAAAATACATGCCTGTGTCTATTAAAAACAATAATGTTACTGGCAGATTTATTTGATTTAGAATATACTTTTCAGAATAGTTTCTTACTATTAAGAAAATTATTTCAGTAATAGTCTTGCCTATATTTCCAGCTGGTTTAAATTGACTGTTTGATTTTTCCACAGGCTGTACGTGTTCTTGAGGATGACACTGCATGTGACATAATTAAAATAGGGACCCTGGTGAGAAACAGAGATAGATTTATAAAAAGAAGACAAAGGCTTATTGGTCCCAATGGTTCTACTCTCAAGGTGGGCATCTTATAAATTTAGTAGTCCTCAAGCCCTCAGTTTCAAGAATTATAAGCTTAAATATCTACTTTATCTTATTCTGATGTAGGCTCTGGAACTCTTAACAGACTGTTACATCATGGTTCAAGGAAATACTGTATCAGCTCTTGGTCCTTATAGTGGCTTAAAAGAGGTAAGATCTATTTTCTAGAAGAGAACCCCTTTTGCAAATTCAGCCTTAGTTTGCCCTGTTGCTAACTATTCTTTTCAAACTTTCAAGCTTCATCTGTCCTCAGAATTCCAAAAAAGCCCACAGGCTCAACCAAGTTTGGGACTCCTGACTTGAACAAATATATAGCAATGCCATTTAGGAACAGAGTATTTTGGTATAGATACTTACACATGAGCAGCCCTTTGTGTCAATCTATGGGATCAGTTCCTGCTTGTTCCAAAATAATAGCCGATTCTAGTTCATTATTTTGGACCACCATCATGTTTTAAAATTGCTGTTCAGCTGTTATCAGGAATAAATTGTCCTGCGTTTACATTTAGGTTAGGAAAGTTGTTCTCGATACAATGAAGAATATTCACCCTATATATAATATCAAGGTGAGTCCAGTTTCTTTTTATCCCACAAGGTATTTCTCTTAAGACTTTATTTGGCATCTTTTTACTTTTAGCCTTATAAATTCATAACATGAGCCACTGGTTACTCTTTTAAACCATTTTCTTGTAATTATTTAATTTGTTAGAGGATCAGTTTGGAAGCCGAATCCAAATAATAGAAAAATTAGTTTAATGATTTTTGGTGCATCACTACCTGTATTGAAAAAGCACACAAAGCATCGTTATGTTTAATCATTTGGTGCTTAAGTCACCCTTAAGATGTTGTGATAACATCTGGCATTATCTACTGTAATGACCGACAGTAATTTTAAAGTTTTCTTTCCAAAGCCTTCTGATTTCCCTCTGACTTGAGTAGATGGAACAATAGGTTGAGTTAAGAAGATGTAATTTTCTGACTGAATCTTTGGTATTTTCACCTGGCTGAAGACCCTGATGATTAAGAGGGAGTTGTTAAAAGATCCAGAATTAAGAAAACAGAACTGGGAGCGGTTTTTGCCTAAATTCAAACACAAGAATTTGAACAAACGGAAGGAACCAAAGAAGAAAACTGTCAAGAAGGAATATACTCCCTTCCCACCTCCACAACCAGAGAGTCAGGTGTGTGAACATTTCTTAGTATTGCACAGAGTAAAAGAGGTTTAAAATAAATTCATTCTCCATTAGTTACTAGAAGATTTGGAAAGCGAATACCTTCAATGGGAAGCCATTTTTTTTAAAGCTTGCACATTTATTTAAGAGTTTATTATGACCAAAAAAGATTAGTCTTTTCCTCAACATGGGTGAGAATTAAAAAAGTGGTGCCAACAAATGTCTCCATGGTGGTACAGTCTCCACCATTTGTTTAATTAGAATGTCATAAGAGAAAGTTATGAGAGAGTGTTATTTCCTAGTGCATCTCATGTATCATGCAATATCCCACCATTTCTAAATTGAACCTTTCCAAAGGTGTAGGTTGCCCAATCAGAAATCTTACTTTTCATTTGTTATTATAAAAAATGGCTGTAATTTGAGGTATGCCTTAGCTATTTACCCTCAGTAACAGCACTGCTAGTGGTCTCTCTGATATTTCTTGGACAGTTTATGCTTCTGTGTCATAAAACTCTTACTGGTGCTTACAGACCTTTCTGTTCTCAAGGAAGAAAAAGTGAATGAGCTAATTCCAGGCATAATGTTTAAATTACTGGACAGTAACATTCTTAGCTGTAAAAAGGTGTCAAACTTTTTTTCTTTCCTTTTTTCCTGTACCTACACTGTTGGTGTCAGAACTTTTAAAATGCATTTTCAAAACAATGTATATCTGATTGTAAATGATTTATTTAATTCACATTGTTGATTGCTGTGTGTTGATTTGGTTCTGACTGGTAGTGTTTAAAGACCCACAAATTCTGGTGTTTGCCTTCTAGCTGTTTTTTTCAGTGGAAGATCTTACAGTATTTCTCAGTATGAAATATATTCTAATGATTTTTACAGATTGATAAAGAGCTGGCAAGTGGTGAATATTTCTTGAGAGAAAGTCAAAAGAAGCGTAAGAGAGTAGAGGAGATAAAGGTAAGATCTCACTGACTTCTCCCAAAGTAATTTTAAAAATTTTATCTACCATTTTGTGTGTTTACTATATGAAATGTGGGCTCCTTTTTTAAACTTAGGCAAAACAAGCAGAAGCAATTAGTAGGAAACAAGAAGAAAGAAACAAAGCTTTTATTCCACCTAAGGAGAAGCCAGTTGTAAAACCAAAGAAGGGTAAGATTGATTTCTATGAACTTTTCCAGCCTCTCTGGTGGTTGCTTTCAGGGATACAGTTTGTTTGTTTTTCCTTTGTGGAGGGGAAAGTATTTTGGCTTGCTGTCTGTGGAATGAATTAACACTTTGGGCTCTTGCACTGAGAGGCTGTGAAGATTGGCTATCTCTCGTGTTCAAAGAGCTAAAGGCAACATTCAGGTGTGTTCCTTCCCGGTTGCAACCTCACAGTAACCCTGGGTGATAATGTGACTGGCCTAGGGTCATCCAGTGAGCTTCATAGCAGTGTGGAGAAAACAGGTCTCTCAGATCCTAGTCAGACACTACACCACTCTGGCTTTTTAATCACTCAAAAACAGAACAGAGAAAAGTGAAGGGAGTGATTTATGTAGCTTATAATGAGTCATTCTGTGATTCAGGAAAAAGTTCAGAATGATAAAGTAGAATTAAAAAAAAAAAAAGCTTGCGTTTTAATCCCAAAGAAATGGATTGATCCTTTAAATAAAAAGTATTCTGAATACTGAAATGTTCTGTTTCCTTGACTGGAGCATTTGTAAATTACAGAACAGGTTTCTGGTACTAATAAATCCTGCTCCATGCAAAAGATGCAAAGCATGAATTCAGGCAATTTCGTTAAATTGGATTTTTATCCATCCCTCTGTCCTGACACTTCAGGGTGACATTCCTAGTCTTTCTCTCCTCCTCCATTTTATATTCATAGCAATTCTGATAGGTGGTTTAGCCTGAGGGCGAGACTGACCCAAGATCACACAACAAGCTTTTGTGTCAGAAAGGGGATATGAACCCAGATCTTCCTCATCCTAGTCTTGGCATTCTAACCATTACATTGCATGATGTCCTCAGACTGGTAAATACTGAAGCATATTGAATCCTGTGCTGCCCAAGCATTGCATCTCTTGGTGTAAATAAGAACGGTGCACGTTGAACCTTTTTGTAAAGCATTTTGAGCAACTCTAAGTGAGGCTGTTCTTATTCCACCAGGTGTCCTTTGCTAGCCAACTAGTAATCTCCATTTGGATGCACATGTTGAAGAAAATAAAACTAGGCTAAATCTGAGAAGGCTGTGCATCTTAGAATTTATCAAGATTAATTTTTAATTTTGATTAGCACAGGACTGTTTCAAATGTCACACTGAGTATTCTTGTAACCTTAATGCATCAGGCCTGAAAGGATGTGAGTCTGGTGTACTAATATTGCGGACACAGGCATCAGCCACCTGTTGGAAAATAGCACCAAGCTGATGTGTTTTCTTAGTAAGCCTGGCACCATGTTTAAACTAGCTGAGCAAGTGTAATCTTTGCATCTGTTGTGTCTGACAAATACAACCTGTAATTTCCCCCCCCCATTGTTTAGCTTCTGCTGAAACAAAAATTGATCTCGAGGCTATTAAGGAGAAGGTGAAAAAGGCAAAGAAGAAGAAGTTGGGAGCACTTCCTGTTGAAGAAGTTAAATTAAAAATTGCAGTGGATAAAAAGAAAAAGAAAAGATTTTTAAAGAACTAGAGCTTTGCCTTTTCCACGATGGGAAGAATCCACAGTCCAGACTCATGACTGTCCTTCCTTGCATCATCGTATTGCCACTGAAACTAAACACTGAAAAACATGAATCTGTCACCTCATACGGGGAAAATCTGGCAATTGAAGTACAGGAAATGGCTGGTAAAATCTTCTGTTGCATACCGGAGATCACGGGGAACAAAAGTTTGCAAATTCTCAATATCCATGAGAATACTTTCAAGGCGTAAGCTTTGGGATGAAGACTTCTGGTTACACGATGCCGTCAATGAATAGGGTTCTGTTCAGTTTGTGAATACTATCTAAACAAACACAACATCATTTGTATCATTGTTTTGACTTTTCCAAATGGAGTTTCTGTGAAACTGTAAGAAGAAATAGTTTTCTATAAAGAGATGTTAAATCTTTTTTTCCTCCCATGTATAAAAGTAAACTGGTATGTGTATGTGTTTTAGAATGCTAACATAAGTAACTTCTTCTAGCCTAGTAAATTATGTTGATATTTGTACCGATCGTTCTGATTTTTTTTGTATCACTCTTGATTAGGTCCCAAAAGCCCTTCTAATGCTTTTTTGGCTGTTGAATGCTAACCTAAAGAAGGAGGGCTTTAACTATCATATCACCAGGCTCCTTGGAAATGCTTACAAGTTGTTCTTTAAATGTTAATCAGTTAAAGCCAAATCTCTTAGTTGATTATACCTACTCCTTTGCCTCTGTATGAGACTTTTATTCCATACTGAAGCTGTTTATTTTTCATCATTTGTGCCTATTTGCTTATGTATATTCATTGTGGGGTAATGCTTCTGATTAATGAAGATTATTCCCAAAGTCAGTACAACTGAACATGGTCTCAGTACTAGAATTGTGATGCAGTATTTGTCACAACCTGCCTCTTCCCCAAACTTAACAGTAGATAAAACAAGCATGATGTTTGCAGGTGGTAGAACTTAAGGCCATATTTCCTCAATAACATTATGAGAGTGTGGGACAAGCTCAGGATTTTATCACATTTTGGATTATTATGTTACCAAATTAGAAATAATTCAACAGCCAAAGAAGCCCAACTCAAAAACATTTTAGATTGATAAAAGCCTCTTTTCTTATGAATCCACTGTTGTCAACAAGGATCCACAGGCATTCCATGTCCCCATTTCTCCCTGCTGATTGTAGCGCATCCTAAATGGTTCTACAGAGTTTCTGCAACTCTTAGGGTATATTCAGGTGGAGAAGCCATATTGGTCTGAAGCAGCAGAACAAAGTTTGAGTCCAGTCGCACCTTTAAGACCAACAAAGTTTTATACATGGTATAAGCTTTCATGTGCCAGCACACTCAGTATCTGAGGAAGTGTGCTTGCACATGAAAGCTTATACCATGAATAAAACATTGTTGGTCTTAAAGGTGCCACTGGACTCAGACTTTGTTCTTAGCATCTATGTAACTCTAGAATTAGATTCTTGGGAACCATCTTTTCACACAATCCCTGTATGTGTAAGAAGCGTCCCATCCTTGGTCTCAGCTCTCCCAGACTTGCTAAGGGAATTAGTATCTAAATATTTTTGCTGTGTTCATATAATTTTATTAAGACTTGGAGAAAAGTAATATAGCCCTTCTGAGAAGACTAACTAAAACATTTTAGAAACATCTGTATGGGCAAGTTGTGGAAGCATCCATGTAGCTTTATTCTCTGTGTGAGATTACCGGTAGATGATGTTATTAATTCTACCAGGGTTCATAGCTGTTGTTTTCCCACCCAGATACATTGTCCTTCCACTGATATTGATAGCCTCTGTTGAGATTATATGTTTAAAACTGAGTATGAACGAACTATATGTGCATGCGTATTAACTCTGATGGCTTTGCCTCTTAAAACCAGTTGTGTGCTGGTAATGGATTAGTCTATACCATTCATGCACCATGAATCAACCCATGCTTGTCTTTTTAAAAGCCAGCAAGTAACTGTTAGACCATCTTCCTCTAATAATCTATCAATCTGTATATGATGGTGAGTTTAAAACCTAACTAAACATCTATTAAGGAGGATTCTTTGCTAGAGCAGGTGAAGACTATGAAGACTAAACTGAGAGCCAGTTTGGTGTAGTGGTTAAGTGCACAGACTCTAATCTGAGAGAACCAGGTTTGATTCCCCACTCCTCCACTTGCACCTGGCTGAATGACCTTGGGCAAGCCATAGTTCTGGCACAGCTGTTCTTGAAAAAGAGCAGTTTCTGTCAAAGCTCTCTCAGCCCCACCTACCTCACAGGGTGTCTGTTGTGGGGAGGGGAAGGGAAAGGAGTTTGTAAGCCGCTCTGAGACACCTTTGAGTGGTGAAGGGCAGGGTATAAATCCAATCTCCTCCTGTTGTCCGCTAGTATCAAACAAAAGGAGGTTTAAACATGATTTCTTGTCTTGTGTGAACAGTATGTGAAGTCCGCCATCTGCTGGTGTGTCATAGATATAATTAGTTGTTTGCTGTGCTCTTTCCAGAACCTTATTTTAGAAAGTTGGCCACAGCTACTTTAACGTGACCATAATACTTATTCTACCCTCTACTGACATGAAGTGAGATTGAGCTAAAATATCTCCATGTCTCATTTTAATGTGTTATGGATATGGATCAAAATCGTGACCAGTTGACAATATTCTATTTAAAACAAAAGTCCAGTGGCATGTTCAAGATGAACAACATTTATTCCAAAGTGCGCTTTTGTGAGATGGAGCTCACTTCTTCAGATAAATGAGTTCCAGCTCGTGAAGCTGGAATAAATGTTCATCTTTAAGATGCCTCTAGACTTCTGTTGGTTTGGGGTTTTTTTTACTACAATGGCTACCCCACTGGAACGTTCTGTTTAGCTAAGAAGGAATGAGAATGGCCACCTGCCCAGCATAGGACTGAACAGGGCTCCGTGCTTGGAGTCCTCAAACTTACTACATTTTTCAAATAGTGCGCACTGACGTTTAGTTTCACTAAAGTGTTCAAACCTACTTGCCTAGACAGTCATTTTGGATAGATAGGCAGTAAGTAAGTTTTGTTTAATGTACTACAAAACTTTTTAACTACAGTTCTTTATCTCTGTTATATTCTGAAGAAAAACAAAGAAGGCTCATGGTCTATATCCAAGGTGGTAGCCTGACTGGGTTGTTTTCTAGAATAAGGCAGTGCAGATAAAACTATGCATGTTTACTCAGAAGGAAGCCCTGCTAGATTTCTGTTTCTTGGAATACAAATAAAGATCTGAAGTTTGAGGACCTTAAAAAATGCCTGCATTCGTAATTGGAATCGGTCACAGACAACTTGTGGAACTGTAAATCAGCTGGCGACTGAGAGCTTTCGAGAGTCTTGCTCTGGTTAGCAGTGCCATGATTCCCTTCTGAGATCCAGAGAAAGGGCTCTTCTGCATTCTGATTTTCATAACTTGTGTGTTCCTATTGCTTCAGGTTCCCCCCCCCCAATGTGTTTTGCTCTCTCTAGTAGTCCCAGAGGGAGCAAAACACATGTGGAAAAGGGGCGGGGGGAACACAAAGCAATAGGGACACATTAGTGACAAAAATGACAATGCGGAAAAGCCCAAAGTCTGCAGAGCTCCTTTTCCTGCAGGAAGAATTACTGTTCTGGAATGAGGACCCAAAATATTAGTGTGGGTTTCTAATCCTGTCTGAAAATTATTCCCCAGTGAAACATTTTAAAAGGCAATATTTTGGCTCAGTGATATTCTGCCATCTGGTAATAAAAATCTTAACTCTTCCGATGTTTCAAAAGAAAAATATGCTGAGATTCAGGTGGAGCCATTTCCATTGTGCTTTAGAATACTCAAAGTGCTCCCATCCATTGTCATCAATCTTTTAATAACCCTGTTGTATAGAATCATATTGAAAATGTATGTGGGGGGAGCTAAAAAGATGTTGCCTTTTGCCTTCTGATTTCCCTGTCTATATAATACTTGAACCGCAGAAGTTAGTGCACCTTAGAAGGGGTGCTCTTCTATTAGATGATAGGAATAGGCTCAAGGTCCGTTTTGTGTCTGAGGGAGAGTAACTGGCTCAGAGTCAATTCAATTTCGTGGCTGTCAGATTAACACTGAAATTTTGTGACTTTAAAAAATAACGGTTTTACTGAAAACATAAAACAGAACAACTTTGTCTTCTAGGTTCTGTGGTGTTTTTGTTTTCCTGTACAAAAAACACCCTGAGGAGAAGTTATGTGAAATTCAAAAACAAGCTCACTCTTTTGTGATTTTTACTAGGCCCTAACATTTGTTTATTTTATTTAGTTAGAAAATTTATATGCTACCTCTCCAGTGATCTGCTGGAGGCAGCTCACAAACAGAAACCATAACACAAAACTATTAAAACATACCTATTAAAAACAAGCCAGGAACACAATAAAATTATGTTCAGTAATTTTGTTATGTTAATAATAAAATTATGTTCCTGTTTCTATTTTCAGTTCATTTACATCAGGAGCAAGAAATATCCACATGGGAGTTTTTCATGCTCACAGTTCAGCCCCTAGCATCAGTAGGAGTTTTTAACAATATAGACTTTGCATGTGGTCAGCATGGGTATGAATCAGTGTATCCAAATTTCCCTCCCCACAGAACCCTTGCACAGAAAGGTCTTGGTATGTGCAGATATGGCCGTAAGTGTGTCATTAAGAAATGGCACATAATGGAGCTACTTATACTTATTCCCATACCAATAATTTCCAAGGGGCCTAGGCAATGTTCCCTCTAAGCTGCGGAGTCTTGTGAGCAAAAATCCTGCTTTGTGAGCTCCTGGCATTAAAGTTGTGAGTGAGCAATTTGGCTACTGCAGAAATTAGTGTGCTCCGGAGCCCTCCTTCCTGAGCTGAGACAAAAATGCGTGAGCTGGAGGCTAAAAAACTGTGAGCTAGCTCACAATAACTCAGCTTAGAGGGAACAGTGGGCCTAGGTATTAATATCTCACTGATGGTTGGAGTCCTTCAAAAAGTCTCTAGACAGTTATAAACCTGCAGGAAGCATCAACAAATGCAATAATACATTTTCTGGAGAAATGAACAGAAAGTGAATATTCCCTTACCATCTACTTCATGTTGCTGGCCAGTGGCTCTACACTGGACTGAAAATTATTGTGCACACTGACACATTCCTCAATAAACTCTCCATTTCCAGTATCTGGCAAAGCATTTGAGGCATAGCAGCAGCAGCCAGTGGAGACAACTAGGAATACCAGGCCACCAAAAAGCCAGATGGAATCCTGCCATTCTTGAGTCTCTCTCTCCCTCCCCCTCTCCACTGCACAGACTTGAAAGCCAAAATATTTTTCCTGGTAGGCTTAAGGAGCTCTCTGCTGTACAAATAGTATAGTATCTGGCTGTTGCTTTCTATCTTACTTTCCTTGGTCTGCAACATTTGACTAAATAAATAAACAACAGGAAACGAATCGGCTGCTTTTCTGTACTTTTATTGTATGTTTTTAAAATTCTACATTAAAATTTAATTTTTTAAAAAGGAAATGAAGGAGAAGACTAACCCGTAGTTAATTTGCCTCTGAGTGAACATAAGAACATAAGAGAAGCCAATGTTGGATCAGGCCAATGGCCCATCCAGTCCAACACTGTCACACAGTGTCCAAAAATATCAGGTGCCATCAGGAGGGCCAGTAGTGGGGCCAGGACACTAGAAGCCCTCCCACTGTTGCCCCCCCCCCGGCACCAAGAATACAGTGTATTCCTTGCCACAGACTGACTTCCTATCTATACCTTGTGGCTAATAGCCACTGATGGACCTCTGTTCCATATGTTTATCCAATTCCCTCTTGAAGCTGTCCATGCTTGTAGCCGTCACCACCTCATGTGGCAGTGAATTCCATGTGTTAATCACTCTTTGGGTGAAGAAGTGCTTCCTTTTATCTGTTCTAACCTGACTGCTCAGCAATTTCATTGAGTGCCCATGAGATCTTGTATTGTGAGAAAGGGAGAAAAGTACTTCTTTCTCGACCTGCTCTATCCCATGCATAATCTTATAAACTTCGATCATGTTATAAACCTCAGCCATAGTTTCTCCAAGCTAAAGAGCCCCAAGCGCTTTAACCTTTTTTATAGGGAAAGTGTTCCGACCCTTTTATCATTCGAGTTGCCCTTTTCTGCACTTTTTCCAGTGCTATATCTTTTTTGAAGTGTGGTGACCAGAACTGTACACAGTACTCTGAATGAGGTCGCACCATCAATTTTTATAGGGCATTATGATACTGGCTGATTTGTTTTCAATTCCTTTCCTAATAATCCCCAGCATAGCGTTGACCTTTTTTATTGCAGTTGCATACTGTCTCGACATTTTCATTGAGTTACCTACTACAACTCCAAGATCTCTCTTGGTCAGTCTCTGCCAGTTTGGACCCCATCAACGTTTATTTATAGTTAGGATTTTTGGCTCCAATGTGCATCACCTCGCACTTGGCCACATTGAACCCCATTTGTCACGTTGACGCCCACTCGCCCATCCTCAACAGATCCCTTTGGAGTGCCTCACAATCCTCCCTGGTTCTCACCACCCTGAACAACTTCATGTCATCTGCAAATTTAGCCACTTCACTGCTTACTCACAACTCCAAATCATTAATAAACAAGTTAAAAAGCATTGGACCAAGTACTGATCCCTGCGGTACCCCACTGCTTACCACCCTCCACTGAGAAAATTTCCCATTTATGCTCACACTCTGTTTCCTATTAATTAGCCAGTTTTTGATCCACAAAAGGACTTGTCCTTTTATCCCGTGGCTATTGAGCTTACTTAGGAGCCTTTGCTGAGGAACTTTATCAAAACCTTTCTGTAAGTCAAGGTAAACAACATCTATTGGGTCCCCCTTGTCCATTATTGGTTCTTTTTCTTCTACTTCTTTGTGTATTTTTCTAGCAGTTCTTCATACACTTTGTGTGTGTCCTTTATTACCTGTGGGACAGCAAGGGGCATGCACTGTAATTCTTAAAATCCCCTCATAGATTTTCCAGTTTTGTAATGAGTTGTATCTCAGTTGTAAACACATGTACTCTGAAGAAAGTTACGTAAATTGGTTTAGAAGAACTGCAAGTCTAGTCAGTAAGCAGAGTCAATAATTTTTTTAAAAAATATATAAATGTATATATACAGCTCCCTATTTACTATTTGGTCACAGTCTAAGAAGCAGGTGGCAGCCAAATGTTTTATTTCAGCAGTGGCTGCCAGCCAGCCTCTGAAGTGATGAATGCCACCAGTTGTAGAGAGGCAAACAGACTCAGCCTGCTGCTCACTTAAATTACAAAAAAAAAAAATCAATATGATATATGAGTGCCTGACTCAAGAGAGAATGTATACTGCAATCAGGGTAGGTCCAGTTTTTGAACATGTTATTTGAAGGACTGTAGCATAAGAACACGCATTCACATGCAATATATTTCATTGCATCAAGGTTTTTTTTCCTAACAGGTATTTAATTGAGGTGACCAGCAAACCTGGATGAATTAGCCAGGTCTGAAAACTGAACCTACCCTTATCAGCCTTACAAACCAGCAAGATCAGGTGTGGGGTGTACTGCTTCTTTAAGAGGCTATCCCAGTAGGCCTCAGAGCTAAGCTTGCCAGTCCCCATGGTTGGGGTGGGGTTTCCCCAGCTTTTGGGGGCTTCAGCCCACCGCCAGCCAGCTGGCTGGCAAGGGGAACCCCACCCCCAAACAGGGACATCTTGGTGTGACATCCCTGACATGATGCCGTCACCCGGACATGATGTCATCACATTGGGGATGCAGCAGGGGACGCTCTGATTTGAGGGCAAAACTCTATGGTAAATTTGCCTATGAACCATAGAGTTTTGCCCTCAAACTAGAGGATCACCAGCATGTTGACGTCACTTCTTGGGGATGTCATCACATCAGGGATATCCCAGAATGCCCTCCAAATCCCCCTGCCAGAGTGACAAAGGACCTGGCAACCCTATTCAGAGCAAGCAGGAGAGTAGGAGGGACTCAGTGCTTCTCAGTCTCTCTGCTAGCAGTCTGCAGGAGTGCAGGGCCTACTAAGAATCTGCAGAACCAGGCCAGGACAACACTGGCCTAGTGCTCTAGAAACAGCTTGTTAAGTACTGTAATTCCTTATTCCAATAGCCAAGTTACCTGCCCTACAGTTTCTGTTAATAAAGAGGCCTTCAGCCAAATGGAACTGGGTGTTTGTTGTTGGTTGTTCCACTACACAAAATGTGGTGATGCAGGTGGGATCACCCTGCTAATAAAATATTCCTGTGATGTGCTGCTGGCGCGCGCGCGTCCCTCGCAAGCTCCCGGAGCCCGGCAAGGATCCCCCGCTACAAATGGTATGTACACTTGGCAACCCTAAGTGGGACCCCCAACCCTGAAACGCCATGACTCAGGGTTAGGGTGAGAGGCCTATCTGCCTCGTGGTGCCAAGAGAGGACCGCATGTCTCTCTTTTGGTGTGTGCAGGAAGAGAGCTTGTCTTCATCAGAGTGAGAGAGAAGGAGGAAAGGGAAATGGTCCCTGAGAACACAATCTGCATTTCAAAGGGGATGGTAGCAGAAGAGTAAAGACAGGAAGAAAGGTCAGTGTGCCTATCTAGCCTCTCTTGCCACTCAGTCTGTAGGTCTGAGACAGGGGACATCACATCTGGAACTTCCAACAAGAAACAGCATAGTTAAATATTGTTATTTATTATTCCAATAGCTAAGTTACCTGCCCTACAGTTAGTGTTAATAAATGGAACTGGATGTTTGTTGTTTGCTCTACTACACAAAAGGGTGAATGGTAGCAACCTACCACTTGTGAAGTGAACTAGTAACAAGCCATAGGCAGCGAATAAAGGAATCTTATTTTTAGTTGTGGTTTTCGTCTTCCATATTAATGACAATTGATTCAAATTAAGCACTCACAAAATTAAGCAATGAGTCAGTCCAGGAAATTGGTATGTCCTCTGTGGTAGTTTTATCTCTTCCCTACACAGTAGCTATTAGAACTTAAGGATGATTATGCAACAAGTGGAAAAGAAGAATTCAGGGTTTGTTTTATGTGACAACTAGCAGTAAAGCCCGTTGTGAAAGCAATACAATGAACTCTCGAAAGATGTGATGTGTAATGAAAGCATAGGCTGGAAGCAGGTTAAATACATATTAGGAGTATGTAATAGAAAGACACAAATGTGGAAATAAAGTCTCACATACCTTATGTTACACAATACCTGGTGTCCAAGGTCACACAATGTGGGCCAGAAAATGCAGCACACAGGTCTCTGTGGAATCATTTCTACAATTCGGCAACCTCAATTGTTCCCTCTAAGCTGTGGAGTCTTGTGAGCAAAAATTCTGCTTCTCAGCTAACCATCAACGTGCCACGGTTCCAGGTATTTCCCAGGAGGGAGTTGCCAGCCCTATTGTACTGATGCATTTCTAACTCATGCAGTTTTGTAGCTCTTAACAGCATACAGGGATCAGGCACACCTGCTTTTGCCAATAGGTGGTGTGGCAATTAACTCCCTTTCCCCCCTCCTATACTTAGTTAATGGAGCATGCTCAATGCTTATAGCCTTCCCTAAAGGAGGCTGGGTAATCCCAGCAGCCGGCAGTTCAGCCTGGCCCAGGAAGAGGCAACATCATCAGAAGGGTGTGGAGAGGCCTGTATAGATTTCACTGTGTAAAGGCCTGCCTTGAATTGTAGGTAAATGCTGTTAACCAATGTAATTATTAGAGATCCTTTCTTCTTGGGAAGTTATTAAATGTTGGTTTGGGACTATTAAGATTCTTAATAGTAATTTCATATCATTATGAAAATATGTAATTTTATAGTTATTGATCCTTTTAAAACTGTTGCAATACATCTTCCTTAGCATTCTGTTTGTTAATGCAACCAAGCAGTTCAGCTTGGCCCAGGAAGAGGCAACATCATCAGAAGGGTGGGGAGAGGCCTGTATAGATTTTGCTGTGTTAAGGCCTGCCTTGAATTATTGCAGGTAAATCCTGGATTCAACTGAGAAGAGCTGCAGCCTCCCAAGTACAGCCTGGAAACCTCATATGCTGTTCCAGTATCTGTGAGCTTACAATATATGGACCTACAATATATGCATTATCTATGTGCTTAGTATTTTTTTCTATTCTGTGCATCCTTGTGGATGCTGAAGATATCTGTAACCAGTAATATCCTGAAGATTCATTGCTATGAAATAATAGAAACCAACCAGGAATGAATGAGGATTTATATGAAAACCTCCATGATTTGTTTATATAAAGAGTTTATTTTAAATGTTAACGTGCATTGGTTGTATTGCCTCTCTTTAAGTATATGTGTAGTTGCAGCAGTTACACATTCTTAATAACCATAGGTGGGAGTTCCGCTGTCAAAACCGACTGAACCTAACCACTCTCCCTGCAGATATTAGGACCTTAGTGGGTTACACATTCATCTTCAGCAGGCTCTTACGCTGGTTATTTGCTTGCTTTAATTCTTATGATGACTCTTAGGGGATCAATGAAATGATTCCTAGTATTTTGGGCACTATGTTACAGCCAGCTGATATTTTTACAAAAACTTACAGCAGCATCCTGTATTGCAAGACAAAAAGGCAGTAGAACTAGTAGCATAGGCTGTTGTTTATACCGCTGAAGAACAACATACAGGAAGAGGCATGGCATGGTGACTCAGGCCAATACTGCACCAACAAGGACTAGGAACTCGTTTTTAAAGCATAAAGCCTGAAAAGATTTGAAAAATGCATTGGAGGTCACATACAAGTTAGAGAGATTATTCATATACAAACATTTGGGGATATTTCTTGGATAACATGGCCACAGAACCAAAAGTCAACAATATAAACAACAATCTTAGTGCAAGCACAGTAATACAATATGAGTCACATGCAGAGCGGGATGGAATAGGAGCATTGGGGGGTGAAGGAGCAGTATATGGTGGCTTCTGTGGTGGCTTGAATCTGGTAGGGTGTACGTCCCAATCTGGTGACCAGTTGGAGTAACCTAAAAACCACACACAACTGTCAGCCTTAGAAAAAGAGTACAGCAAATCTAAGCAATAATAAAGGCAGTCCAATAATACTAAACGATACGTACTCAGTAATTGATCACGCTCTGGATTCTCTAGAGAGTAAAAAGAAGGCAAAGTAAATATTGGAGCAAATGTAGCGCTTTCTGCATCAGCAATCTCTGCTGCATAATCTGGATAGTGGCCTAGTTTATTAAGCACCCCAAAGCCATTTCTGTTTTTAATAGCAATTTTGTGGGGGTGGGGAATCTCTCAAGACTTGTTAAATGATCTAGTGCAGACCATTGCCTATGTAGTTGAGTGCTTGGTTTAGGTATTATGTTTATCACTTTCTTTTGGCCCCTAAAATGACACTCATCCAATAAACAGCTTACAAAACTGAACCAGTAATTAGCTGGGCACCACTTGCTATGTTGTAAAGAGGAGGCGTGAAAATGTGATGTATATAGCTTTTCTAGAAATGGTTAAATATCTTAGCACAACTAAAGCACAGTAGTTCACTTGTACTACGAAAACTACATGCTGTTTTAGATATAGTACATTTTTCCAGCATTCAAACCACAATGTATTTTGTCTCTGGGAAATTGTTGTTCTTTTTCCAAGCTAACAATAGATTTGCATGAGTGTAACAAGTACCTGTTGCCTAGAGCTGGTGTCATAATTGAACTCAAGAGACATAACTGCCCATTGCTTCCCCTTCATGCCTATATGCCTTTTTGGCTGTAAAGTCAGCACCCCAACTAAAATGAAATGGAAGCTGAAACAAATTTATCAAAGAAGAAATTGGAGCAGCCTAACTTCCCTGTTACACTTTAGCTGGACTCGCTGCTGCAGCTTGCAAGATTGCAAGTTGAAGATAGTTGCTGGCGAGTTGCTGGAAGTAAATCCTATTCATTTTAAAGGATATGTACAGTTGCACAGGAATCTGGTAATAAATAAAATAAGCAGCAGGCATTTTTGTGTAACTGTAAAGGTTTAACTAGATAAGATGCAGGAGGGAAGACCATTGTCCCCAGAAAGCTGGAGCACTGGTTTAACTCTTCCCACACACAAGAATTATTCCCTGAGCTGTTTTAAGACCAGCAAGGAAAAGTTACAACCAAAACAGCCTGTTTTTACCCGCTGCTGAGGTTTTAAAGGGGGGCAGTGCCAATTCCTCTCAGAAAAGTGATGTAGGTTGAAGGGTTAACCTCATACCTCAGTGCCACAGCCCAGATCCAAAATGGATCCTTAGCCGCTGCTCTTTGAGAAAACTGGAGATGTCGGGAGACACAATCACAGACCACCAACACCTTACCACTAGCATAACTTTCATTCCCACTTCTTTCATTCCCACTTCTGATAGTATCCTTACCACAGAGATTCTCTGTACACTTTTCTCTGTTACAGTCACTGCATGGGCTTCCGGTTTTGTAAGGTTTCACTGGATAATTGCCACTGCAATGGTAAGAGGTAATTATGATCTTGGAGAAGAAACACTATTATATTCATTGTGAAATAGTTACAGCTAGCATCAGTGTTCCCTCCAAGCTGAGTTAGTGTGTGAGCTAGCTCACAGGTTTTTAGCCTCCAGCTCACACATTTTTGTCTTAGCTCAGGAAGGATGATCTCCACAATACATAGATTATGCAGTAGCCAAATTGCTTGCTCACAACTTTAATGCCAGTAGCTCATGAAGTAGAATTTTTACTCAGAAGACTCCACAGCTTAGAGGGAGCGTTGGCTAGCATAATACATGGGGATATTTTGAAGAAATTCCCATACCCCAATTACATGTGATGCATTTTTAAAAGCAGAAAGGGACACATTATCTTTCAAGCAGGTGTTGTTGGGTTGTTTTTGGAACTCTCACGGATTTACTTTCTGCAGTTTCAGGCTCCATTACTTAACCATTCCTATATTAACATATGTAAGGAGAAATTCTTTTAAAGAAGGAATAATTTAAAAAGACTATTAAATAGGGATAGCCTTGTTTATATTTTAGCAAATGTGAGGCTATGTCATTGGTTAGATCATTGTTTAGCTTGAGTCACACCAAATCAGGGGAAGACTGCTGAAATGAATTAGTAAAGAAGAAGTAACATATTTGCATGAAGATGATTTCAGTAGTTCTTCCATACATGTTTATTTAGTGAGTGACTAACACTTACTAACGCTGACCTGTATGGCCCAGGCTAACCCAATCTCATCAGATCTTGGAAGGTAAGCAAGGTTGGCCTATGTTCATATTTGGATGGGAGACCACCAAGGAATTCCAAGGTCATGATGCAGAGGCAGGCAATGGCAAACTGCCTCTGAACATCTCTTGCATTGGAAACCCTATGGGGTCGCTATAAGTCAGATGTGACTTGACCACAAGTCACAAGCACAATGGGTACAATCCGTAGCAAAATTCAAAATGAAAATCTGTGCAATACCTTTTGTTAAGACAGACTGAACCAACACAACAGATTGTGCAAGCTTTTGAGTTCTGCTGAGCTCTTCATTAGGTCAGATACTAAACAAACAAAAAGGGGGGGCACAGCTAGCCACATGGTATACTAACCAAAGTCTAGTAAGCATTGCATAAACCATGTAAACAGAGAGGAATAAATAGCATTGTCTGAAAGATGCATTTCTTTTTAATCACCCTTGTTTCTTTTTAATCATTCAATCTGATGAACAGTTCTGGAGAACTCAAAAGCTTGCACAATCAAGATGAACTATGCTTTTGAGTTCTACAGAAGGCTTCACCTGATTGAACTGTTAAAAAGAAATAAAGGGGGGTATGGATTTTGGTTTTGGATTCTGCTCACGGTATTGAGAAATGGAGTTTAAAGCAACAATTATATTTAAATATCTGTATTTAGGATGCTGAATGGAATGGGAAGCCTGTTCTAAGAGGTCTCTTGAGCTGCACCAGGCCCGTAGCCACCGCGGGGCCCATGAGGCCTGCCCCCCTATGTGTTTTTTGCGGGCTCCTCCCCCAATCCTCATCTCCACCTCCCTCACTCGATCGATCACTTCTTCTCCCCCCCCCGCTCTAGATGGCCATGCTCAAGGTGAAGCCAGCCCCAGCCCAGGCGAGCAGGTTGTCAGCAGAGTTTGGCCCTAGGTCAGCCTCCGCTGGGCTGAGCTGGGTGGGATGGGGCCTGGTCTGGCGCTTCTCACTGGGCGGTGCTGCAGCTGTGCAGGTGAGCGGTGGGCCATGGACTTCGACCCAGACAGCGAGTCGATTTGTGCCCACTGTGGGCGGGGCAAAGTGGGAGGGAGGCAGGGCATCCCTGGTGGCTTGGAGCAGTAGCCATGCCACCCCCATGAGAAAGGCTAGCCGAGGCTGCGGGGGGGGGGTGCCAAGTGCTTATCCCGGTGGGAGGGGGGAATGGGAGCAACAATGGGGAGGGCGCTGGCTGGAGGCACCAGGCCATTCCTGTCCCGCCCGAGTAAGGAAGAGGCCACGCACAATGGGGGGGGGGGACAGTGAACCACTCACCGCATGCACCTCTTCCCTCCCATGGCCCCCTGAGAAAAACATTGGCCTCCTGAGCAAAATGTTGCTAGCTATGGGGTTGAGCGGCACTAATAGGTTTGGTCACTGCAGTCAAAGCAGTATCCTTCACATGGATAATGGAACTCCACCCAGCCCTTCAGAATTCCCTTAACAAGAGACAGACTGTTTTGATGCCCTCATAGTAGTTTGGCCTCCTACCCATTGCTTCCCTACTAAAGTTGAACAAACTCTGGTGTGGTACAGCCAGATGTAAATGCAGCAGAACTCGCACTCATGGTTACTCTGTCCTTGCTGGAGCCATGTTCATGTCTCAGGACTGCCTCAAATATGGTTGCCAGGTCCCCCTCCCCCAGGCCACCAGCAGGGGATTGGGTGCTGGGTTGCCAAATTCAGGTAAGAAATAATAATAATCTTTCCATTTATTGATTGCTCAAACCATATGGTTCCCCCCCCCCGACAATCTGGGCCACGCTCCGGTGACACAGCTTCGGGGGCGGAGTCCCCCCCGGGGCCCGATTTCGCCGCGGTGGAAATCAGGCCTCCAAAGCGGGGGGTTTCCCCGCCCCTACTTGGCAGCCCTATGCCCGGCAGTGGCTGTTTCGGATGGTTTGGGGGAGGGCAGCTACATTTAGCAGAAGGCCAAACGGCGGCTCAGCTTGTAGTTGCGGGTGGTTGTGCCTTGGAGGACCTCATCTCTGCTCCAGTACATGGATATGATCTATAAGGGTTATTCTGACTTTGCTGGGTCAGCATGGATGGAGTATGACAAGGCTTTTCAGATGAGGGTGGCTATGTACCCGGCACTTCATTGGGATCAAATCCATTCACACTTGTGGATGCAGATGATGTCCCTGGCCAAGCCCGTCTTGGGGGAACACTCTGACAGTGGCATGCTAATAATAATAATGTGGGAGCTCCACGTTCTCAGGGTGGGCAGGCGTTTCAAAAACGCCCTTTCTGTTGGGAGTTTTCCTTGCAGGGGTATTGTAGCTGGAAAACATGAACTTTTCACCATGAATGTCCTCTCTGTTCCAGCCCTCATTCCTTTCCATCCTGCCCCAAGGCCAAAGCCAGACCTGCCGCTAAGGATGGCAGGGGTGGCAGGCATCCAGAAGGGGGAGGGGATCAGACCTTACCTGGTAAAGGGACCCAGTCCAGTTAAAATTCCGGTATTAGAGCGCTGGTTGTGCCTATATCCTAAGTTTGCTGATAGGGAATACTTGTTAGATGGGTTTAAGTTTGGTTTTCACATTCCCTATAAGGGTGAACGGCGTCCCTTTTTAGCTCCCAATTTGTCCTTAGTTTGGGGGCATGGAGCAGGTGGTTAGAGCCAAGATTGAAAAGGAGTGCTTAGAAGGTAGGGTATTGGGCCCCTTTCCTTCACCTCCGGTTCCCAACCTGCAGGTATCACCCTTAGGTGTAGTGTCCAAGAAAGCGCTGGGAGAGTATCACCTGATACACCATTTGTCTTACCCTCAGCGTGGCTCGGTGAATGATGCGATACCTAGTGAGCTTTGCTTGGTCAGGTAAACTTCTTTTGATGAAGCGATCCGTATGGTCTATGGTTGTGGACGAGGGGCAGAATTGGCTAAATGTGATATCAAATTGGCTTTTCGCCTTCTTCCAGTACATCCAGATGACTTTGTTCTTCTGGGTTTCTCCTTTGATGAGCAGTTTTACATGGACAGGGCCCTCTCTATGGGATGCTCAGTGTCCTGCACTGCATTTGAATGGTTCCGTTCCTTTTGGGAATGGGTTTTGTGTGCATGCATGGGTTTCTTCAGTACTGCCCATTATTTGGATGGTTTTCTATTTACTGGACCTGCTGGATCGGGGGTTTGTGCGCAGTTGTTGTCCAATTTCAGGCAGTTGGCTAGGGAACTTGGTGATCTTCTTCGTGGTCTCTGTGCAGGCCACACACCATGGGTTTCACGCCTACGCTGAGCCCTGGCCGGGAAGCCTAAAAAAGCTTAACATGCAACCTACCCCTTGCGGAGTCCGCCTCAGTCTCGCGCAGCCCTCCCTCACTACGCATGCTCGGTGACTGAAGCAGACTCCACCTCCACCCAGTTCATTATTAACCGCCTCCTGACCAGACGTTATTCTTCGTCGTCCGGGAAGCCGCCTCAGGATTGAAATAACTTGAACCGACATAAGTAATACTAGTGAAAAGCAATCAGTTCTTTCTCACACATAGTCCCGTAGCTCAGGGGGGCTGCCTATGGGACCAACTCTATTTTTTAAACAGTGCCTGATTTGTGCAGCGAAGATCCCCTCAACCGACGGGCACGACCGTTGCTTGCGCTGCCTGGGGGAGAAGCACAAGACTGGCACCTGTGTGTACTGTAAGGGGTTCACCAGTCAAGCTAGGAAAAACAGGGCAGCTCGCCTCAAGGTTTTTCTCTTAGAGCAATCCCTAGCTCCTGTTATGGCAGAGCCCGCTGGATCTCGCCAGTCGCCGCCTCCCCCACACAGTGAGCGGGGAGATTCGGTGCAACGGTCTCCGGGTGCGTCTTCGCATAAGAAAGCGAAAGCAGACAAACAGCTCAAGAGACCTGCTGGAGCTCGCCAATCGCCGCCTCCCCCACACATTGAGCGGGGAGAATCGGCGCAACGGTCTCCGGGCACAGCTACGCAGAAGAAGGCTAGAGTAGACAAACAGCCCAAGAGAGGGGCTGGGGCGAGCAAAAGCACCTCAAAGACTAAGCACTGTGGGTCAGTGGTTAGCACAGGACATAAGGAGATCTCGCAGCCCGTGGACAAGCATCACCAGTCAAAGCCAAAAGTACAACCGATACTGGTGACTGGCCTATCCTCTGACTCTCCCTCAGTCGTGCGAGTAGATACACAAACGCTGTTGCCGGGATCCAGCCAAGCCCGGGTGTATGCAGCACAGGCACGATCTCCATCGGTACAGTCGGTGCCGCCGCTTCAAATCCTGGCAGAT